CTTGCTCCCTCCTTGAAGTTTGGCACTGGGGAGTGTGTGTGCAGGGGGGTGGGGGGTGCTGATAATACCTCTTATTGAACTAGCACTTTATTTTTTTGGCAGCTGGCCAGTATGGGTCTGGCACATTAGAAGTTGTATCATCTCCTATTTCACCTAGGCAAAGGTATCATCCTGTTTTACAGATGAGGAAACTGAGGCATAAAGGTTCAGTTACTTGCCCAAGATTATATCCATAGTAGGTAGGCGTGGTGCTGATAACACCACGGTCAAGGGTTCAGATCCCCTTGCCTGTAGAACTGGGACTGGGAAGTGTGTCTAAGTTCCATGCTCTCGCTCAATCATGCTGCATGTTCCTGAGCTCTGACTGCTTCTCTGGGGATAAACTGTGACGAGGTTACATGGAGATGACTTGAAATGAGTTTTAAGCTTTTATTTCCACAGCAGCAAAGAAACTGCTGATATGATTACCTTCTAGAAGGATCTGGACCCATGATCCCAGATGCCAAGAGTGCCTGCTCAAAAGGAACCACTTTCCCATTGAGAAACTGTCAAGTGGAATCAGGCTGCCTTATTTGGGGGATTTTCATGCTTAGCGGGGACATCAATAAATTCACTTTGGTTCCAGAGTCATTGGGGTTAACAGGTAACTTCAGAGACAGAGCAGCTTCTGGGCTGGGCTCTTCCACTCAGTCCAAATGATTGGTTTTATCTGACTCCCTCTTCCGGTCTTGCTCAAAGCAGTATATTCTCTCTCCAAACTTGTTTTCTTGCCTTGGAGAAGCTGCTCCTGAGATCGGAGGCTTCAGGGGTCGAGCTTGGCCCTGCCCTGGGCAGAGATAAACAGGCCCCAAATACATTTTCCAGATTGCAACACTCGTGAGTCGGGCAGGGTCGACAGCTGTTCTCGCACAGGCACCCGTTGGTTGTGCCTGATAAGGAAGAACATGGCTCATTCCAGGGCACCATCGTGTGCGCTCATATAAACAAACACTCCCAGGCGCCAGAGTTGTCAGTCAATTATTGATATTCTGAGTGACTGAAACATTGGAAAAAGAGATGAGCATAAACTTCCCTCTGCTAAGGAGGGGCCCCAGTTTTTGAAGCCCAAATAAGTGAAAACAGGGCTATGATTTGGCTCTGCTTTGGGGCCATGTTTTGAACCTACCTGGTCAAGGGCAGGCTCAGCTCTGGACAGAGGAGAGAAGGATTGCAGTGGGGAAAGGAGGAGTTGGTCAGAATAGGACAGGTGGGGCCGGCCCGTGGCTCACTCGGGAGAGTGCGGTGCTGATAACACCAAGGCCATGGGTTCGGATCCCATATAGGGATGGCCGGTTTGCTCATTGGCTGAGCGTGGTGCTGACAACACCAAGTCAAGGGTTAAGATCCCCTTACCGGTCATCTTTTAAAAAAAATTAAAAAAAAAAAAAAGAATAGGACAGGTGGATTTGTGAACAAATGGCCAAATGCCCAGAGAGAAAAGGTGTATAAGCTCAGCTGGTTATAGCATGGTATTGACACCAAAGTCAAGGGTTCAGATTCCCTTACCAGCCAGCCGCCAAAAAACAAAACCAATAGAAAAGGTGTATCATAAAAATGTGAATGTACCTTCACCACAAAGAGAAGGAATTGATGTTGTGACATTTCAAAAACAACAAAACCCAAAAAGTAAATGCCCTTCTCCTTAAATGATACACAGTATCATGTATAAGGAGTGGGGACAGGAGCATTGATATTACTAATTATACGATAATACCACCACCGATACCATATTAGACTTTGTAATCAACACTTCATGTTACCTTAAGGAAATCAACTTATAGTTTACAGGGGCTTTCGTTTTTATTTTAATTTTATTTTTTTCCATATTCTTTTCCATTTGTTCAACTCACTCCAGTGGGTAGGGCATTATGAGCTACATTTTATAGATGAGAAAACTGAGGGTCAGGGAGGATCTATGCAATCAACTGAGACATAATTAAGAGCTGGGGAGCAGCAGGTTTTTCCTAAGTAACTCAGAGCTAAAATACTTACTAAAGACACAGTAACTCTTATTCAGAATGATTTCTTATCAATGTTTGTTCTGATGGCTAAATCTCCATTACATTTCTAGGTAGAGAAGCCCCACCTTCTCCAGTGTTGTCCACAACAAGTTTCCCTAACTAAACACGCCTCTGACTGTGTTTGCCCAGTACTTGGGTCACAGCAGTTATGGCATGAGTGAAGATTAAAGCACCAGGGAAAATCTAGGCTCCACCCCATGCCTTTCTTTCTCAAGTGTTCCTTCCTTGACCTATGCTTTCTGTCTGTCTTGGACTCCACACTTTGAGTTCTGGAAATAACACCTTTGGGTCCTCCAAGCTTGCCACTGTTGCTCTCAGGCTGGGAAGAAACTTCGGAGGGCACTCAGACCTTCCCTTGTTTGCATAGGACACTACGGGAGAACTTAACCCACCTGAAATGATCAGGCAGGTATTTTGAAAATGTCGATGCCTATCAGAATCTTAAAGGCAGTGGTTCTCAAGCTTTGACCTGCATCAGAATCATCTGGGGAGCTTGTTAAAGACATGGATGTCCAAGCCCCACCTCAGACCTTCTGAATTAAAATTCCCAGGGGTGGGATCTGGACATTTGTGAACTTAACAAGCTCCCAGGTGATTCTGAAGTACACCAAGCTTGAGAAGCACTGTCTTAAGAGTTAACCAGGTGAAGGATAGTGGGGAGCCATTCTGGGAGAGGGGATAGCAGCAACAGAGCCTATAGGAGACTCAGTTAGGAAGACAAGTCTGTCTTTATCTCCCTTTAGCAAAGCAGTCAAATAAAAGGGGTTAGAAATCTTTTTATTGAGACATATTCTCTTTCTGACAGTTTGCTATGTGTGATAGGAAAGAGAAATGCAGAAGCAGCTAAAATAGCCCATCTTTAGAACATAGAAGAGGAGAGAATGAAGAGTTATTGTTTAATGGGTACAAAGTTTCTGCTGGGGATGATGAAAAAGTTCTGGAAATGGATAGTGGTGATGGTTGCACAGCATTGTGAATGTATTTAACGCTACTGACTTATACACTTAAAATATGGTTAAAATGGTTAAGTTTTATGTTATGTATATTTTACAATTTAAAAAGTATCCTTTCTTTTTGAGGAAGGGAATTATAGAAGCAAACAATGTTCAACTTTAGCAGATTATTGCTGCCCAGGTGTGTGTGTGTGTGTGTGTGTGTGTATGGGAGATTATGTAAGCTGACCCAACTCATAGCCCATGGTCTGATAAAGTACAAATATATGCAGAGCCATACCCCAGTCACCAAAAACAAGATGCCTGGAGTACTCTCCCCTGCCCCCTTTGCCTGGTTGACTACTGGGTTCGATATCACTTCTTTTGGAGTGCCTTGTAGAGCAGTATCTCTGAAACTTCATTGTGCATAAGAATCACCTGGGGACCTTGTTAAGCTGCAAATTCTAATTCAGTAGGTCTGAGGTGAAGCTCTAGTCTGTATTTCTGTATTTCTAACAAGTTCCCTGGCGACACTGACCTTATAGACCATACTGGGAGAGCTGTGTAAATTTAGTCTTTCTTAGTTCAACATTATATCCTCATGTCCAGCAAAATGATTAGCACATAGGAGGTGCTTAATAAATATTTATTGAATGAATAAATGAGTATATAGGATTTGTGTAGGAGTTTGAAGGGCAGAACAATCTTTGTCCTGAACTACAGCATGTTTAGGGTGTTTCTGCTTCTGTCATTCACTTACTTTGTGAAATTATCTCATACTCTGTAGAATAAGGATGTTAATACTAAATTATTTCTGGCCTTGCCACCTTGCTGCCTCAGCTCCAATCCTTGAAATAGTGGTCCTATACACGTGAGTATAATGAATCCTGGTTCGCAAGCCCTGAGGAAGCCTTGTTATGGGCTACAATCCCTGCAGACAAATTTTCTTCATCCAAGGAGGGAGCAGAGTGCAGGGAACCTGCTGATGTGCGGGTTTCCAGATTTTGGCGAATGAGTAATTGCTACCTTGGCCTCCTCCAAATTAAAAAAAAAAAAGCCATTTAACAGAGTGTGTGAGAAGGAAGTTCATTACCCTAAAACACATGAATGTAATAATATTGCCATTATTTACTATTATCGTTTATGATGGTGATACGACACTGGCAGTTGAGCGATTAAGTGTGTGGGGAAGTTGGGGGAGGGGGCAGAGGAATGTGAGCGGGCAGGAGAAAGAGGAACTACATCTCCCAGAATGCCCCGAGAGGGGCCACGCCGCGGCGGCGCCCCACCCCTTTCGCCGGCTGGGCCCGCCTCCTGGGGTGACGTCACAGAGGTGACGTCACGCCGCCCTGCTGTACC